TACATATAAATTATAAAACAAATTTGTAGCCAATTAGTATGATTTATTTATGTTGTTGATTTTATATTTGTGCATGAACACGGAAAAATCACATAATCCAACTTATATCTAAAATCATAGATTTAACTACAATAAGAATATATAGTTTTATAATAATAATAATTTATTTTATAAATATAAATTATAGGATGACTCAAAAACATATTAAAAATGAAAATAAAATACTAACCAACTGTTGCAATCAGTTATTTTTTAAAAATTTATATACATGCATGAGACTTCAGAATATTTTTGTTATATTAATTTATGTAATTTAGAACCAGACACTTTAGTTTATTTTTATTTCATTCTAAAAAAAATATATACTAAGTTATACATAATCTTCCTAAAATATATTTACGTATCTAACACAACAACTAACATAAATACAAATAAGAAAATTAATCAAAATTTAATATATTTAGAATAAAAAACATTGTAGTTGAATTTAGAAAAATAGACACAGTCCAATAAATTCATATGATAACTAAATCGACTGTAAAAATAACAAAACCAATTAGATATAACATATCTACATTCATCTGCTAAAGTACTATAGTATTATTAATATAAATTATGCATATAAATTATAAATTAAAGTAAATAGCAAGCAATTTTTATAGTATATTTGTTTTATAAATATTTATACTCGTGCATGAGCACGGGAAAATCACCTAGTTAAATACATAAACTTTTAAAATTCTCAAATTTTATAGATTTTTTAGACGGCGTTAACTATATTTAACGGAAATGATGACGTTAGTGTTTAATGAAACACGTGGTTAAATTGTGACAAGAAACTTCCTTAAAAATATACGTATTGATTTTCATTTGTTAATAAAATACACAAACTATTTTGGATTCCCATTTAATACACAAGCTAATTTTATTTTTCATTAAATATACAAACTTTTAAATTTTGTAGATTTTACACATCGATTTATGGACGTCGACTATGTTAAACTGAATTAGACATTAATTTTAATTAAAAAAGTGGTTAAACAGTAAAAAGCACGTTCATCCTCCAAAACTTCTCAAAGCGACTAAGTCTTAATTCAAGTTAGTTTGAGTTCGAATTTGGCACCATTATCTGTTCCAACCTATTTTATTCTCCTAATTCGGTTCTTTTTCTTCTTCTTTGATTCACTTAATATCGCTTCGAAATAGAGTCGATTTCCATGTCATGAAAACAATGAAGAAAATTAGGTAACTTTAAAAGAATTTCTGATTTTGGAATCAGTTTTGTGTTATATATTTTTTATTCTTATTCTCGCTTTGATTGTAGTAATAATGCTTCAATTAAGGTTAATTTATACTACGATCAGTAAGTTTAATGTTATGAGTTAGGTTGTACACATATCATTTCTATTACGATCAATAAATTTGAATTTCATAAAAAAAAAACGTAATTGAGAAGAAAGCTGAGAATATAATCTATCGACATGATTTTTTTAAAAAAAATTCTTCACAGTTTAATCACATATTTAATTTAAGGATCCCTTAATAAAACACTAACATCGTCTTCACTTTTTTAAACATAATTGACATCACCTAAATCATATAAAACATAGTTGACGTCGTCTAAATCGATATGTAAACTGAAAATTTCAAAAGTTTGTGTATTTAATAAAAAAAACAAATGTTATTTCATGTATTAAATGGGGATCCAAAATAGTTCATGTATTTTATTAGCAAATGAAAAGTAGTTTGTGTATTTTTCTGGAAATTTCTTTTCATAATTTAAACACATGTTTAATTAAACAGTAACGTCATCGTCATTTCTGTTAAATATAATTAACACCATCTAAACGAGGTGTAAAATTTACAAATTTCAAAAGTTTGTGTATTTAATAGGTAATGAAAATTAGTTCAAGTATTAGATGAGAATCCAAAATAGTTAGTGTATTTTATTGAGAAATTTGCGCTCCTACCAAAACACTTTACCTATATTTGCAAAGTACCAAAGAGAAAGAAACTGTCTACTGTTCACTATTACAATTTTACTCTGTTGCCCTTATCCTATTACCCTCTCACCTGACCAAAAAAAAAGAAGGGCAAACTATGAAGCTGAAATTGGAGGAGTGAGAAATAGGCAAGATATTATCATATCTTTTCTGTCAATGGTTTCGGATAAGTGAACAAAGAAACTAACTAATTTCAAATAAAAGTAGTTTCGTATATCAACTCATAGTTCATCGTTTTTGTGTGGATTAAACGTTTTTGTGTTTGGATTCCAAATCTATGCTTTTACTCATCTAACAAATGGTCGACACAAAAGATTTGGATTAGACGTTTTTGTGTTTGGATTCCAAATCTTATGTGTCAGACGTTTCGGCGTAGATACAATATGATTATAATCGTTAATTATAATCATATCCGGCTAATCTAGTGTTTATCCATGAAATTTGCAATCGTAGCCGACCAAGTGACTGAAGCCAACCTATATTTATTTGTCGGGGATACTGGATCTGTACTAATGGTTTAGGACCACTTGTAATGTACGGGATTTGTGTTAGGGGTTTAGGGTTAAGAGATATGGTAAGGTTTGGGTTTAATAAATTGAAGTTTAGGGTTTAGTATTTAAGGTTTAGGGTTATGGTTAAGGGTTTAAGGTTTATAGGTTTGGGTCAGGGTTTATTTGTTTGGTTTAAAGTTGACCATTTGTTAGATGAGTAACAATTGATATAAGAAGTAAATATGGTTTAGTATTTAGGGTTTAGGATTTTAGGGTTTAGAATGGGGTTTAGGGTTTAGAATGGGTTTAGGGTTTAGATTATTGGGTTAGGGTTTATTCTTTAGGTTTATAGTCAACCATTTGTTAGATGAGTAAAAGTTTATAGAAGACGTTAATTATAACTGTATCCGGCTAATCTAGTGTTTTTCCACGAAATTTGCAGTCGTAGTTGGCTAAGTGACTGATACCAACCTATGTTTATTTTTCGGGGATACTAGATCAGTACTAAGGGTTTAGGTCCACTTGTAATGTAAGGGATTTGTGTTAAGGTTTAGGGTCAAGTTAGCCTGAAACATAATTTCTTAGCTTATTATTTTTATAATGTTTACATCCACAAAGTTTTAGTATCTGGTTAATAAATCTAATAGATGTGTAACACATGTTTGTTAGCCGAATATATCAACAAAGTATTAGTAACTAGTTAATAAATCTAATAGATGTGCAACACATGTTTGTTAGCCGGTTCAACTATTTTTTCATTTACAGAGCCATATTTTTGTGTTCGCATAGGTGTTCGAAAAACTATTTTTTAATTTGAATAAAAACATTTACCTAGTTTGACAACATATTAGACAAGAAATATAGTCAGTTTAGCCGGCAAAATAATTTCTTAACTTATTATTTTTATAATGTTTACATTCACAGAGTTGTAGTATCTGGTTAATAAATGTAATAGATGTGTAACACATGTAACCCGAGAAATCTCCAGAATATAAAAAGATGAAAGACAAAGAAGTTCAAGAATTAGAATGCTTCGTGAACTCATAGAGAAATAACCAGATTAACTCATAATCTTCATTTTTGTTTACATTTAGTAGGGAAAAAAAAAGCAGAGAAAACGATTTAAGATCTTTCCAAATCTAAACGAAATCTGTATCTGACTAAATCTACCAAGAATCTTGTGTCAGAGAGAAGCAATGTACACCAAATCGTCTTCTTATCTTACCAAATATTTTTTTGATCTTTTGTTAGAAGCTGTGACCAAGAAGTAATTCGGGCAGGGTATTTATGTCTTTTTACCATTGCATGATTGAACACATAAACACATAGTTTTCCCTCTTTGGTATTTTGTTAATTTTGCTATCTTCTTTGGTTTTTTAGCTAAATTGCTCTATTTTATTAGCAAATGAAAATTAGTCCATATATTTTTAAGAAATTTTCCCTTTTAGATTTGCAATACTAGGTCGTTTTGAATTAGTTGTTGTTCTTGAGTTTTTTACACAAATTAAAACTTTAGTTAAGTGTTCAAATTTGTCATTGTTTGACCATTATAACTGCATGACATTTATTCTTTGTTTTAATTTAATTAGAGACAAATAGAACTAATAGAAAAATTGCTAAAAATCTAATCGACATTTATCTTATAACAAAAAAATTATATTAGAATTACATTTAATTTGAAACCGAATGAGTACAAAGTATACTTAAAGTAGCTTAATACTTCATCCATTTCATTTTAAATATCGTTGTAGGTTTTTAAAAAACTATTATTATATATGTAGTTTTATATTTTTAATGCATAGATTTATTTGTTATTCTTATCTTTTAACTCATTAATTAACAAAATTAAATAAAACCTTAAACAACATGTAAAAAAAACGAAGAGGGTACTAATTACAAAATTTGTTAAGGTTATACAAATTTTATTAATCTTAAATACTCTTAGTTAAATAGGTATAATTAATATGAACATAAATTATTTCGATTATTTTGTGTAAAAAGTATTTAAGTGACACTCTTAAACGGACAAGTTACAGAAAAGACTAGAAACCATTCTAATAGGTGTAAGTGACAATGGTCTTTGACTAATTTGCACAATCTGTTTCAGAGATGACTGAATAAATGTACTTTTCACTTGCATAGATCATAGCTCAAAAAGAGAAAAGACTATCCATCTCAGCATAATAGGCTTCAGCGTAGAGCCGTGCCTGACTTTCTAAAGGTTAGAACGAAGAAAAAAAATTTGGCCCCAAAAATGGTATTATGGAGCTTCAAACACATGACTTTGACCAAAGAATCTTCATACTAAACCACTGAACTAAAGATATTTCTTGTCAAATTAGCCCCTAATTGGTTATAGCCTTGTCAAGCACGGCCCTGAGCGACATTCCTTTCACCAAGCCAAACATACGCATAACGCATGTGCTTGAAACTCATTACTTTGGATGGATATTGAAAGGGAAAGTTCATGATTAGGTAATCATTCTTTGTTTTCCAATTCTAGCTACTACCTAAATGATTCGTATCCAATTCAAAAATAAAGCTTGAAAACATACACATGAGTAGTTTCTCAAGAAGATTTCAAGTTGCATCTGTGAAGTCTTAAACAATTCACAGCAGAAAAGCCCACATGTAATTTACACAGCATAAGTCATAGAACCTATTCTTGATTTGCATCAAACTCGAAATAAATAGTGTGTGAATAACACTGAGCAGTAGAAAAAGAAAGGGAGAGGGGACTAGTTGAAGATGGTTTTTCAGATGGATGAACTTGTTTCTCAATTGGTGAAATCTATAAGGGCTCCACTGCAGTCTTGAAAAGAAGAACATAAACCTTGTCGATCTGGAAATATATGAATCCTCCAGTGGAATGTGTGACGTATGAACCAAAGCTGGTCCCAACTATGCAGTGCCAAGCAGGGCCAAAGGCTGAATCAAAGTCCTGAAAACGTAAGATCAGATGGAAAGTTTATATACATCAGATGCAAGTTTCAGTGCAATGCAACATGTTGTTTGACCAATGGACAGAAGTGAGAGATAAAAAAAATGTGAAGGTCTAGTTCTGGAGAAGAGATCCAGTATTAGAACAAGAAGGTAAAACAGCAGAAACTGACTCGTATGCCAAACATACAAAGCTAAGAATGGTCGCCCATTATATTAAAAGAAGATGAGACAAATAAGTGAGCGCTGTTTTTTAATCTCAATTCTCAACCAATTAAAATCCAGCAGATAAGTGAGACAATTAACACAAACAGCACAGACAGGATGAACAAGCTTCTAATTAAAATCCAAGGATAGCAAAATGGTACATGCTAGGTCTCCTAAGTCATTGGCCTTCTTAGTCACAGCTCAAAAACCATCTCAATGAGTAAAATATAATAGCACATCCAATTTCAAAGAGACTCATACAGAAGTCATGCTCACAATCCAAAAAACGACCAAGTCAAGAAGACTCATACAGATCTGACCTTTTTAAGGGCGAGAGCGAGTCTTTTGTTGTCGGCTTTTCCAGGAGTGGCATTCAAGAGCTCACGCGACAAAATAAAGGCTTTGTTCTGCATAGCCAGAGGCATATCCGAAGCTCTAACACGAACATTGAACTCTTCTTTAAGGTCTTGCTGCTCTTTTGCTTTCTTCTTCTGTTGTATCAAGCTGTTCAAGAACTTGCTTCTTCTCTCTAGTTCAAGCTCTACTCCTTCCATGTTTCTCGATCTTGCATCACACTCAGCTAGGATCTCGTTTTTAGCTGTTTCCTCCTTTTAATCGGAGAAGAAAACCAGAGATAGAGAGAGAGTCCCGGAGGGCTAGTTAAGTTCGTTAAGCGAGCACCATCTGTTTGACAAAAAAATGTCTGTGAGAGAGAGAGAGAGAATGAGGAAGAAAGGAATGAATTTTTTGAGAAAGGAGAGGAGACAAAATAGCGTTCTTTGTGTTAGCGGAAAGCAGCCGACCAAAGACAAGTTCATAATTTTACACCTCGGTCTTTGGTCTTCATTCAAATAATACTATTTATTATTAACTAACCTTTTGCTGCCTTCTCTTAGATTCTGTAAGACCCATTGACCAAAAAAAAAGATTTTGTAAGACTTAACCTTCTGGCATTTCTATTGTAAGTATTTGGATTATATGCATTCAAATCTATGCAAAGCATTTTCAGACAAGGTTGAGATATAGTTGCATTTTCAGACTATTCTCTTAAATAAAATAAATTTCTTGAAGGGGTCAGCACACTACTAAAAATCACGTAGGATGTGATTGGTAACCATAATAGGAACAACAGGAATGGACATGAAAGAAATGAGTAGGAATAAAATTTTAGGAAGGAAGAGGAATAATAATTCCATATCAAAATCAATAAGGAATGAAGTTGTTCTATAATTCTCTACAACCAAAGGAATGAGGAGGAATGAGAAAAACAATATATTCCTCATGAATGGTGAATTTTTTAAGGAATGTTAAGTAATGTAGTGTTCCTCTTCATTCCCTTGATCACCATTCACGCCCGTAGATTATGAGAAGCATCTTCAGACCAAAGATTAAAGTTAAGAATAGTTGTGGTCCACAATAGTAAAGATCTAAAATGGGTTATTGCGTCCCAAAACTATTCTCTTGAATTCTATGACTCATAACCTTGTATTTTCTTCTTCCTTGCAATTTAAACCTTGTATTTTCTTCTTCCTTGCAATTTAAATAAAATGCTATTTAAGCAACTATGAAGTAAGAAAATTTGTTATCACTTATCAGTGGAAAAGACATTTTTAACTGATTCCATATTCACTACGATTGATCATTTGTGTGTTACAAAGACATGTATAGTAAAAACAATGTATTGTGAGTAATTCCCCATATCGGCTGAATTCTTGTGGTGTAGAAAACTAATAAACATTCAACATTTGGTAATTGTAGGGTGGTGACGAGTTATCAGCACACCTCTAGACAAATCTTAACGAGCAAACTTTATCGTTAGACTTTAGGAATATCAAGTACGGGCCGAAAAGTAACCAAGAAGGCCCAGTAGAGGTGCGTTGATGTAAGTGGTGGGCTCAGTCAGCTGAAAGTACGTCCTTGAATCAGGAAAATCATCAGTGACATTCGGCCCACCAACTACAGCACCAATTAACAAGTTAGGGTTAGGGTTCGGGCTGAGGAAATAACGAGATCCTTCTTTGCACCCTATGCGAGCAGGATGATCCACGACCGAAGGAACCGAGCTTCCACGATGGTGAATCCTCTGTGGAAACTTCGAACCATACCCAACCATGTACGACATTTTCATTGGATTATCTCCTAGTATGTAGTCCACCTGCAATAACGTACGCCACAAGCAAAATAAAAAAAACTATTATGGTCACTCATGCATCTCGGTGCTGAAACAGGGGAATGTAAGAAGGTTAACTAGTTACCTGTCGTTTGGCTACTTGACGGAGAAGAGCTGGAGAAGCTGTGAATTGGCCGCAAGGCACTACCTTATTGGCGTGACTTAGGTAATTAGAATATGTTATTAACAGAAACGACAAAGATGTTACATGCTGCATGTTACTCCCTCCACTCTTCACTAGTAATCCTCCTGTGTTTGTGTTAAATTACCCAATAAAAATCAAACATGATGAGTACTGTTAGAATCAGATTAATTATGGGCTTCCAACTTAAAACCAATTGGTGATAAGTGGATTGGCCCTAACCCTTTATATAGTAGTAGATTAATTCTTATATTTCCGATGTGGGATGTTTCTCATCAATACCCTCCCTCACGCTCAGACATCTCTAGGTCTGAAGCGTGGACAATGTGGGAATAACATCCACAAAGGGTCCAACATCGGTATAGTAGTAATTGTAGTAAATTAGGTCAAAGGATCTTATCGCTCTGATACCATGTTAACTTTGGGTTTATTATGAGCTTCCAACCTAAAACCAATTGGTGATTAGTGGATTGGCTCCAACCCTTTATATAGTAGTAGATTACTTTTTATATTTCCGATGTGGGATGTTTCTCATCAATATGTTAAATTCGGGTTTATTATGGGCTTCCAACTTAAAACCAATTGGTGATTAGTGGATTGGCTCCAACCCTTTATATAGTAGTAGATTACTTTTTATATTTCCGATGTGGGATGTTTCTCATCAATAAGTACAAATGAAGTCACAACAGAAACGACATATTTAACTAAAATCTTTGCTATTTTTTTTTTTACCTAGTGAGTATTCGACTTGAGGGTGAGAAATCCCAGGCAATAAAGAACAGATAAACTCATCAGCGTTTTGCTTAAAGCTCTGAAAATAATCTGCTTTTCCCATTAGGACCATTTTGGAGATTAAGACATTAATCCCAGCATGTTTGTTATCCCAACCAAACTCGTGGATCGTCTCTCCAGCTCTTAGAATCTCTTTGTTCTTCAAAATAAACTCTCTGTACACTCGTTTCTTCGAAGCTTTGTGTAGCCATGCCGCTCCCCACAGCAACTCATCCTGCACGCACACTCATCTAATTAACGTTTTAACTCTTTTAGATTCTGAGATCTAATTGTGGTTTTTAAATGAAACCTTTAGTTACCTCGTAACCGTTGAAATTGCAGTAAAAAGGACATACTGCTTGGCGAAGACTATCACTATACGCTCCTCTGTACTTATTGGCGAAAGCAAACACCTACGTCCATAATTAATTAGTTCCTACTTTGAAAGTCATTAAAGAAAGCCAGATGTTGACCAAAAACTATTAAATAAAAACAAAGTGAAGTGCTTTATAATAAACAGTAGCGTAAATTGCATGTTTGTCAAAAAATTGTTAGAACAGAAAATCAAAAGTGTACGGAAAATAAAACATTAGAGAGAACATTAATCACGCAAGCAAAGCATAATCAGCTGTTAAAGTTTTGGACAAAGCATGCAAATTTTGTTAGAAAAAGAAGAAAATTAAGAACGTTAAAGTAAAATTAAAGTAATAGTAGTAGTACCCTTGCTGCACGGTCCAGGAGGCGTTTGGAGTATGCTGGATCGCGTTTTTCAAACACGATCGACGCGGCGGCCAAAGCGGCTGCGGTCTCTCCCGCCACCTCAGAACCAGGATGGTCCTTGTCGACTTTGTAAACCGTCCGTAACGTGTCCATGTCCTCAGGACGTTCCCAGCAGTTGTGGTCGGAGTAAGCGTCTCCGACTTGTACGAACACGACGCCTGGAACCGCAGTCGCTTTTAGAAGATAGTCCGTTCCCCATTTGATCGCTTTCACGGCGTTTCCTAGCTCAGGTCCCATCGTTTTCCCGAAGTCGATGACGCTCCATGACATCATCGTCGTGGTGAACGCCATCGGGAAACCGAACTTTACGTTGTCTCCAGCGTCGTAGTAGCCTCCGGTTAGATCCACTCCGGCGGAGGAACCGTCGCGTAGTGCTGAGTCACGTCGCCATTTAAGGCGTTGGTCCGGTGGCAGCTTGCCGGAGCGTTGACCTTCAAAGAAGAGGATGCTCTTCTTGAGAGCGTCGCGATAGTCGTGTCCCGTGCATAGCTCCGGTGAAAGTAGAAGCATGGCGAGAATCATCGCCGACAAGGTTAGGGATTTTCCCGCCATTTTCATAACTCTTTTGAGTTTGGGTTCTGTTCTTTTTTTTTGTATTTGTAAAGATATTAGCGGGAGAGATGTGAAAGACTCTTTGTGCGTAGGCTGTTTTATACTAAAAATTAAAAGAGACCTTTGGGATTCCACGAGACAAGTGCCAATGGATTAATTCCTACGTGGAATAAATTGATTGGACGAAGGTGGACCATGTTGGGTAGATACGATTGATCGGGTCGGGTAATTTGACCCGTGATTGACGAGCGGTTTCCCAATAATTTAGGCTTTTTAGGATATACGTAAAGATTTTTCCGTATGGCCCTATCCATGACAAGTTAACCCAAGAGTTACGTCTCGATATACTAGTTGTTTAATGACTTGTGTTGGTCATATCATAGAACCGGTTCAACTCAAACATACGCTATATATTTTTAAAAATGTTTATAATGCATGTATTCATATATTGGGAGTAATGTGCCGGATTCAACTCCGGTAACCAATCATCATCTATAGCTTAAACAGTCAGAAAACTTATTTGATTTAGAACATATCTGATTTGAACCAAACTTATTGTTTAACTTCTGAATGTTATTCCGTAATATGATCAAACATGGGTTTTTGATCGAATTATTGAAATTATATTAATCCGAACAAATATGTATCGCTTTCTTCATACTTTTAAAATCCAAAAAGTTTAAATTGAAGTCATATTTACATGATCATATACAAATGTGGCAATGCCGTTATAAACTTAATTATAATGAAGGAGAGGGAAATGTTATAAATTTGAGACTGAAGAGAAGAAACGTTGACAATTTGACATATATGATATACCATAGTTAATAAACTACGTATGATATTAGCCATGATTAAGATACGATTTGCGTGGAATACGAGGTTGACTTGGAACGCGAGGGATGTTGCAACATGCAACTTGCACAAAGCCGACGCATCTAATCTTCCTTGCTCAATGCGCCATTCAATCTTTTTTTTTTTGTTTTATTCATTATTTTCCGAAAAGAAATGTAAAGCCAAAATTATTGGGAAGTAAACAAATGAATACTGAATACGGAGAAAAGGAAGGGGGACTAATTGAAGATTTTGTCTAATAGATAAACACATTGAAATATAGTGTGTGAATACATGACAGAACAATCGAAAGTGAGAGGGGGGGGGGGGGCTAACTGAACACGCTCTTTATCTTTCCTTTTTTTAATGGATCTGAAGGTTCCAGAGCAGTAAGTATTGAATAGAAGAACACAAATCTTGTTGATCTTGAGATATATGAAACCTCCAACGGAATGAGAGTCACGGATAAATCAAACCTGGTCGCCTGGTCCCAACCATGCAGGCCATAGGCAAAATAGAAGCCCTGAAACATAAACAGATGGAAAGTTTGTTTTATTAGTAAATAGCAAAAGTAAAGTTTGTAGACCATATGCGAGCTTAGATTCGATGGAACATGTTGTTTACAGACCTACATCCACAATTACAGTTTGTTAAAGTTTTTGATGTGAACATAAATAGTCAAATTGTGTGTTTCTTTTAGTGCCATATTTTGAAGTAAAGTGTTTCCTAATTCATACATGTTGGTCAAGAAATTAGAACTAAGGGAAATCAACAATGTACGGAAACAAATTACATTATTAGAAAACATAAAGTGAATATTTATCATGCAAGTAAAGTATAACCAATTGCTACACTTTTGACAAATCACGCTTTTTTCTCCCTTTCATTCGTTTGAAAAGAAGAAATTGTTAAACTTTGGTTTAATCTAATTTGGGTTTAGTTTCAGCGGAAGTAGTTAAAGTTTCCATCACCGGCAGTAGTTAACATTCCATCATTTATGTTTCTCCTAATATTTGGTCTTTAAAGACAATATTTTAAAGCCAAAATTAGGAGAAAGAGAGGCGATCAGTGAGTGAAACGATTGGCACTGGGAATCATTTAGAATATAAGAGCCAGCAAAATGGTGAAACACCAAATCTCATGTCCTCTTGCTGGTAACAATGAATACACATATCTAATTCGAACTCATAACACACATAGTGATTGATTGGCTCCAAATCCAACCCCCCCCCCCCCCCCC